ACATCCTGGAGCACTGTGCAACTGTTTATTCCATTACAGCTGCTGCATACATTAAGCCCTTGCAGTGGTTTTAAGTATGCATACTGGAGATGAAAGTGCTTTTTACTGGTAAAGTAACTTGCCAACTCCGTTCACCCCAAAGCTAGGACTGCGGTGGAAGTTACTGCCCAATTAGACGGGCCATACGCCTCTTTTGCCACGTGATCTTGCCCATGCCCATGCGTAGAGCCAGGCTGGGTGATGAAAAGGAGGCGACCGATTGGCCGGTAGGCACACAGCTCCCACTGTAGCCTCAGTTTAGGGGTGAACGGGCTATAGTGTAGCGTATAGCATGTCAGGAAGTGCTCAGCGCTGACCGGTAGCTTTGAAATAACGCCTCGCCGAGCTTTTAAATAGCAGGGGCTCCTTATGCTATTTTACTTCCAAGCATAATAGCGAAGCAAATGCTAGGTAGGAGCTTGCGCCAAGAACCTCAAAACTCCGGCCTTTTGTTTGCGCAACCAAGACATACTGTAAAAAAGGACAGTTGCCCTGTAGCACTGGCTCTACTGCCACTTTATGCCAACACTAACCCCCAAAAACCTATGACATTGCTCTGGAAGCTTCATCAAAGTGGCTAAGGTTCTCTGCTTTCAGGTTTAGCCACTTTACAAAATCCAGGGGCAAGCATTGGGCATTGTTAAACAGCTAAAGCTTGGGGGAATCAAAATCTTCCCCGTAATTATTGAGAATTTGGAAGCTTGGGCTGCAATTTCTGCTTGAAGCAACCAAAAGGCCCTATTTAATTGGCTGAGCCGCTATGCAAACCATGAATTGCTCTCACAGATAAAACATTTGTTTTGACTAAAATTGTGGCGTTTTCACAATAGTGCAAGTCTCCCACAGAAGTCTCCAAATGACTTTAAAACTTAGGCTTACAAGACTGCCATATTTTGCATATTCGGGTTAGAAATGCAGCAGTGCATGCTACCTAAAGGAATCGATATCACATTGCCTGCCAGTCAATACCACTTGCTCAAAGAACCAACTTCTGTCTATATAACAGTTTGCACCAAGACAATTCTAGGCAGTGCCGACTTTCCACGGATCTGACCAGTCTTTATGTACACGGGTTTGTGTTGAAGGGTCATGGTGGAATCCACGTTTGTTTACTTGTTTCTATGCTGCTTGAGAATCCAGTGGTAGTAGCAACATACAAGTGTTCAACCTATATAGTAGCACAAGCGGCCCAGCTTAGTGCAGTCACCACGTTCGCCTCGATGCTGTGTTCCTCTTGTCCCTTCCTTTGTTAAAGGGCAACTCCGCTTAATTTTTGGTTTTGAAAAAAACAATGCAGTCCTCTTCAGTATCTATCGCCTAGGAAGACCACACGTCAAATATTACGACGCAGTTCTGTCTAAATGTTTCTTATACGGTCCGGCAAACTTTGCAACTCGCCAAATTGCCGAAATCGGCTATTCAGGCGCAACCAACAGCGCAGTGAAGGCTACGGCATGAGCGGAGCCAACATTAAGCTAAACGTCATCATCATGGCCCCCTTTTGCTTGATTTTACTTCTCCGATCGAGCCTAGCGCATGACGTCAGCAACGTTGCCTCTTGGCGCTCAGCGGTATCCATGTGATTGGCGTACGCGCCTGCACAGCGCGCTTCTTGGGAGCAGACCAACCGCCCGCCGTGGTCCCGCCGTCTTCCACGTCACAACCACCGTCGTCGTCTCACCGTTTGTGATTATTGCCTCTCGGAGTTTCGTCCACACTATGGACACCACGTGCGCAGAGTCGCAGATTTATGCCGCAGTTGTGCAGACGTCGTCGAATGCCGTAGACACCAAAACGTGGCGAAGAGTGCGGCGCAGACGACACTCGCGCCTGCCTGCCGCACGCCCCCATCCCGTCCGTCGTTCGGCCGAGGATCACGTGACATCTCGTACCACGTGATGGCCATGTACCTGGCGGCCCGAGGCCAATGCTGCCAGAGGGAGCCGAAGTTTCGGTTTCGATTTCCGCTAGCGTTTTTAAAATTAGATTTAAAAATATATATCTTATTTTTCGCGAAGCAAACGACGTAGTGCCTTTTAGTAGGGCTTTTTAATTCGAAATCCCTCATTATCCCGAAATCTTCGGAATTGAGCGGAGTTGCCCTTTAACCTACAAGGCCATGGTGGCAACTCTTCCCGGCAGTTTCCGCGAGGCAATGTGAAAATCTACTCAACACCATGAAAACAGTATGCTGCATATGATGTGCTCGAGTGTCATTACCACTGCCGAACTGCTTCACTGGATGCCATTTGCTCCTTATCTAGCAAATAAATCAAAGATGCCTACTAAAATGGCACCTTTATTTAATCATTAACTCGTGGAATGCGGCATCCTTGCATCATCTTGTCATCACAATTGCGTTGTAAACCATGTAAGCAACAATCGCCTTGACCAACCCAGCATGAAGGTGTCGTGGAACAAAGCCACCATCATGTCGTGCCGTCACCCACCTCTCAAGTTAAAAAATTACGCGAGCTGCGCACCCTCCACTCTTCCACAAAGACAATACAGAGCGCAACTGAAGGAGAGGAGGAGATGAGGCACGACAAAAGGGTGCAATCACGTGTGCAATGGAGCTCCACTACTGCAGCCGCTTGTTTGTCTGGAGCAAGCAATGGCCTCAAGTTCATAGTTTGTTGGAATGTGTGTGGTAGTCTCAATTTGACAAAACCATACCCTTCCAGATATTTAATCTCCCCTTTCTCGAAGGCAGAGTCCTCATTCGTAAAGAGCCAGTGGTTATCCGATAGCTGTAGAAAAGGTCAGACAGCCACTGCTACGACTAGCAGACGACGCCAACATTCGAACGCCAAGCCCTGACACCACTGTTTGCTTTGTGCGAGAAGCAGGAGGCGGTTTTGCTCGCTCTGACTGGAGGAAGACAGTCGGCAGAGTCAAAGACTTTGCCCACCGTCCTTTGTGCCCCTCAACTATCCTTCCAATAGCTTGGCATTCTGACATCACCACCCCACCGGCGCAAGAAATGCAGAGCTTTAATCTCCTTCAGGTGTGCTCTGTATAGGCCAATTTTGCATAGCAGACAACATACTATGTTGCATTTCTAACCTGTCACCAATTGTAGCTAAATGTGACTGGACAAGGCAGTTTAGAGAAGGACCTGAAAACTGGTTTGGGTTTCTCCGTCGAGTCTATTGGTCGAAAGAATCCCATCTCCAGGGGAAAGAGTGAAGTTGAAAACGTGATAACAGATTGACGAGGGCCCTTTACATGGTAAGGGGAGGCCCAGAGCCGCCATCGGTGGCTGCGAATTTGGCAATCGGAGCAGGGGGTAAATCAAGGAGGAAGTCCCGTCTACATGGACATTGTTGCAATGTGCACATTAAAGGTGTAGTTCACTCAACTTTCCTGTAATTGAGGATGACCAATAAGGCTGCCCTCATTGCCACAGGAGGAACGAGAAGGACATTGTGAAGACCCTAAGACCGTGTCTCAAATTTAAGGAACACTTAGTAGTAAGTAAAATTATACCACGCCAGAGAGCTTGAAACGGCAGAAATAGTCGTCCGACTCCATGTCTGCACCACAGCCCAATAAGTCTCACATTTTCAATTTAAGCCACCCCCGTAGACCAATTTGTATAGTCGAAGGTGACAGCATTGGTGGTTGCTGACAATGTGTTAACCTATATATTCGTACAGGCTTGGTGTGTAGTTCCTACTGTTGGGACATACTTCAGTTTGGCAACAGCTTAAGCACACAGCTTTTCAGTTCAATGCGTTTGATACCCCTTCGGTTCTGGAATGGTAAGTGTGCGGTGTCCAAATGCTTTATCCATGTAAATGTTCATTATTAAAGCCCCTTGACACCCGAGTGTGTTTTGTTTCAAGGCAAACCCTGCTTACAGCTCACTCATGAAGGGAAAGAGCAGAAGGTGGAGATGAGGCAAATGCTTAACAAATAATTTCTAAAGTCGAAGTGTGTAAACAAAAAGCACTCAAAATGCCAAGATATTCCGAAGCAGAATACACTTTAAACTTGTGCGTTTCCCTCCCTTATCAAATGAGCTCGCAAATAATGACTGCACAGCACTTTTAGCCTCTATATAGTAAGCCCCATTTGAAAAGCGCAGTCTGTCAAGGAACCAGGTCTCCCCCAGACACTTTCAAAAACTGGTCTACCCACCTCAATTTCTGCTAAGTTGCACCTCCATGAGTAAATCCCCACTTTCAGTTCATTTGTCAGCAACCAAGGGGGGGTTATCTTGGACAGTTACTTTTCCTTTCTAAAGGTCACAGAAGCGACATATTGGCATCCGATTGGTGGAGGCAATGGCCTCCACCAACCAGATGACCATACGTCACTTTTACCTTTTAAAATATACATGTAAATGTCCAACCAAGCCCCCTGATGTTTCCTTGAAGTGCAAGGGTTTCCAGCAGATGACAAGTTCTTTTCTATCACCAAGGTTACCGGAAGCAGTCCTTCTCGTTCCAACTCTTATACGGAAGGTTACGAATGCGCGTCACTCGACGCTAGCAGAAGCAGTTTTGCCGGTCTTTGATCCACAACCGAGAGGCGACGCATAGGCTCCAATCGACGCAGCTGGCGGCACGCAGTCGTTCAGAGCGAAAAGAGACGTCCGTTCCGTTCCTTTAGATTGGCCACGAAGAAAACAGCTGGCCGGAGACTCGCAGGTGGCGGGGTTGCAGACTCTCAAGATGTCCTCCCATTGTCTTTTTTTCTTAAGCCAGACAAGCGAGAGCGCGTAGCCCTTAGTACAGCGAAAGTGAGATTCCCCCCTTTTCCTTCTTTCTTTTGCGTAGTTTTGGCTTGTAAACATACTGTTTTATTCCAACAGGCATGAATGACGTATGAGAAGGACAATTAAAGACGCAGACCAAACCTTCGCTTCGAGAAGATTCGTCGCGAGTAAACGACACGGACAATGAGAAAATCAGCGTAGCTCATAGAGCGCGGCTGAGGTGTGTTACATCACTAACCTGCAGTGACTAGAAATAAATGCGCATTGGGTGGGACTTCGCGTACCGAGCTGCAACCTTGGCGGACACTTGCTTATCTCTTCGTCGGCCTTGCCACGTTCCTGCAAGAATGGAAAACGAATTTGGCCACATTTCCGGACGCGAGCATACGCTTAGAAATCACGTTCCTAACTGTTTCATCACGAACAATGCGTCAGCACAACATGGCGGCAACAGAATGGCAGGGACGTTAGGACTAAACCCAGTTTTTTCGCCCATTTTAAGCAGTATTAAGTTTCAATGCCTTACGTTCAACTCGAATGCGCCGCTAACTGAACAAACACATATCAAATTGTTCTTTCAGAAATTAATGAATGAACCGAACTGAAAACAATGATAAAGCCACCAGAGAACAAGGCGGAGGAGGCTGAGGCATTCGACGGTCCCGCAACTTCAATTAGACAACAGCCAAGACACCTTACCGTTTATATAATGAATGTCCGTGAAAAAGGTTCCTCTCCAGCAAATTGTAGTCAATCTAACCTGCGAGTAATAATAAAAAAAATGACGTCCAAAACGGCAAGGCAAACACGGACAGGCCTATGGCCGACAGCCCGTTAGCCCTTCCTTCCTCGACGAAAAATATTTCGTTCTCGGATTGGATTGACTTGATCCTCCGTTGGCTGGTAATGGCTAGTATTGGATTCATATTGGCTGCAGCTGCAGCGTTATCGGGTAATCCAGCTCAGATCCAGCTAATCCGGTTGGTTTCATCATGGCGGGCACGGCGGCGTCATGTTCAGCATAGTTTAACACGATGTTTAGTTTGCGGTTGCGGCACTTAAAGGTTTAGTTACAGCGCAAAACCGTGTTAGCGGCTGAAAGATTATTTTTCTGCAGTCTACGCTTCGTTTGTTGCCCGACCTGCCCCAGCGTCTTCGAGCGTGACCGCGAAACGAGTTGACTCGCTCAAATTTTTAAGCATGACAGTGGCAATCGGCTTCGAAGGAAGTGCGAATAAGCTGGGCGTTGGAATCGTCCGTGATGGGCAAGTCCTGTCCAACCCACGAGTCACTTATATCACACCTCCTGGGGAAGGTGAGTACTAAGACAGAGTGATGTAGCTCCAATGTGTCATTCACCGGCAACTGATCTTTCCGTTGCCGGGTGTGGCGTTTGGCAGTTTGAAAGATCTTAATTTTATTACAGGCTTCTTGCCACGAGACACTGCAGTGCACCACCGAGCACACGTCTTGGATGTTCTCGAGAAATCGCTTCGAGAGGCGAACATCACGCCCGACGAAATCGACGTTGTGTGTTACACTAAAGGTAAACTTTTGAGCATGTAATGTTATTCTGCTTCGTTTATCTCCTAGTGACCTGGTGGCGTCAAACGCCGATTATAATCTAAGTATCACGACACCTAGTTTGATGAACTGTTACCCCTCGAAGAAGCAGTCAACCTGGTCCACAGGGCCCAAATCAAATACCTATATATGATCAGATAAAATTAGCGCAAATGACAAGAGAAGAGAAAGGTAAGACAGGACAGGACAAAGCGCTGTCCTGTCCTGTCTTACCTTTCTCTTCTCTTGTCGTTTGCGCTAATTTTATCTGATCATGTTTAACCAACTAGCCCAACAGATGATATTGATACCTATATATGTACTGTCGTGGACAATGAGCTGAAACAGCGCTCTGGCCTGTGCACGGTACCACCCGCGCCGCCTGTCGAATCGCTCCGCAAACACTGCGCACCCTGATGCTGAGTTAAATTCTCACTTGCGCTCGCTGCGCTCTTCCGGCCGTCTGCTAGCGAAAATATTTGCCGACAGAACTACCATCACGATGTGTGTGCCGTGCAGCCCAATGTTCACGTTTTCAGCTAACATGCGTTTCAGTGCATTTCAAGAAAGTGCCAAAGTGGAAAATGCGTTGTCACGCTTGTATCTTCTCGAGGAGCGCTGCCTGATGGAGCTGCCTTTGCCCCCAAAAGGTGCCGATCTGAATAGCATCGAACACGTTTGGAGGCGCATCAAGGTAGCCATGTCACTGCATCCCCTCTACAGCGCCACTGCCGGCGAATTCCGGGAAACGGTGAGACGTGAGTGGGAGAGGCTTCGGGCCGAGCCAGACTTCGTGGCCGCGCTCTATGATTCCTTACCAGACAGGTTGAGAGCCGTGGTCGCGGGTCAGGGGAGAATGACACGGTATTAACTTCTTTCATATGTTTTACTGCGCCTCAGGACCCCCTGAATCGGACTTCTGCCGATTGGAACAAAGCTTGCTGCTACGGTTGCGGCACACAGTTTGACGTCGTTAACCAGCGCATACTTTTGTGTAGTGCGTCCATGATCCTAACCTCCTTTTATAGTGCAGTTGAACTTGCACGCTGACTATACATTGTCCTCTGCGAATATTTTTTCGATGATGTCTGAAGTCCCTTCTCCTGGCAGATATATGACTGTTTGTCACACATTATTAAGACTAGGAATTTGTAATTAAAACACTGGTGTCTTGTCAGCAACTTGTTTTGTTTAAAGGGATACTTCAAAGAAATTTGAAATATTCCTGTCGTTTTCAAAAGTAGGTTGAATATGATTTACAACGTCCGTAAATGACAATCGCACGTTTGTATTTTGAGCCTGGTGGCTGTATTTTTTGTTATAAACGACCCACTCTGGCAAGCGCTCAGAGAAGGCCCAGCGGAGACCACGTGACATCAGACGTAGGTCGTCTCGGGACAAGCAAAGCTACAGCGAGACTGACGTCGAGAGGATGGCCTAGTCGTTCCAGCCACCGAAGCCGCTGCTTTTGTACGAATTTTGAGTGATGGGTTAATCTTCTATAATCTTGTAGGGGGACAATAGCGACTTCTGCGACACACAAGAGGCATTTTCAGGAAGAGGGGAGTTCTTCCTTTCCCTATTCTCTCGTCGTGGCCAGAGGCAAGACACTCACCGTCATTAGCTGTCAAGGTTCCTAGATGGGCATTACAAGTGAGGCGTTAGCGACATCCACCAGGTGCTCTTTGTTAATCGTTTAATTCGTTTTAAAATTCCTTTTCAAGACTTTTTTAACAAGATATTGTTATGTTCTATGTAATACTGCTCCTTTGAACACATATAGACCAAAAAATGAGCGTGGAAATTTCGTTGTAGTATCCCTTAGAACGAAATGTGGGCCCAATAATAAAGAAATAATATTTTTGAACTTTTCTATACGCATCAAGGTTACAAAACCTTTGCAGTATCATGTATGGTTACCGTATTCTTAAACAACTGTGCTCAATGAAAAAGAAAAAAAAAGTAAATACCTTGGAGCCGGCCTAAATCCGGAATACAGATTTTGGCCTATATCTTACAATGTCCTACTTTGTGCATGCACTTAAGCAAAAATGACTTGCAACGTCTTTTGATGTGACTTTCAAAAATGACAATTGCAGCTGCAATTTAAGATACCTCAACATTATTTCTTCACCAGTAAGCGTTTTTTCTATGTGATTCTACATGATAGAATGAAGTAAAACAATTGCAAAATAGGGACAACAACTGTAATCTTCTGTCCCTGCCGCCCTACCACACACTCGTCCGCTGTCACACACGCCATCTCATTAAAATCATCTGGTGGGCTAGCTGGCTGTACATCTTGGTAAAATGAGTGCAAAGACAAGGGAGGAAGCGCTCTATCCTGTCTCTATGTTCTTTCTCCCTTGTCTTTGTGCTAATTCTACCAAGGTCGCTAGCAGACGGCCGGAAGAGCGCAATGGCACAGCGAGTGCAAGTGTTAGTTTATCTCGGCCTCAGGGTGCGCCGTGTGTGCGGAGCAAGGCGACATGCGGCGCAGGTAGTATTGTGCGCCGACCGAAGCACTGTTTCAGCTCAAATTTTCCACGATAGTACAACCATCAATATTTTTACTTTACTCGTTGTGTATGAACAATGGGTCACCCTAAGAAAGGAAAGAAAAAACAATGATTTCAAAAGCAGACTTTTTTCTCATGACTTTTTTACAGCCACTGACAGAGGGAAAATGGCAGGGCATCTTTTTCAGATGCGAGAGCACCTAAGTTGGATACAGTGATGCGATCGCTGCGCCAAACTGCGCCAAGGGGCTAACCCTGCTACATCCTGTTACATATTGCCAAAATATGGGTAATCTGCGCCTGGCCTGCGCCGAAAAACCAATTTCCGTCGTCTTTCAAAACCGAAACTAAACTGATTACGGTAATTGAGCACGCCTGTGTTATGGGGCGCAAGCGGCTGCCCGACGCGAAGTACCCTGCACCAATTGTCCATCCGTTCTTCCATGGTTTTCCCGCCGTCTTGCGTTTCACGCTCTCGTTGTCTCGCAAATATCGCTCGCGTCATTTTTTTTTTTTTTTTTTAACGATAGACGCGGGTGTGCATGGCTCCGACTCTAGTGTACCGTGTACCAGCCATGCCGTCATACTGCAAACCAAACCATGTTTTTGCGAGATGGGAGTTACTTTGTGAGCTCCTGAAAGCAACGGCCGTGGGCCTTCCGGTCACCGTGTCGCATGACGTTGGGTGTTGCCGTCTCCACATTGCTGCAGATAAGGTGCTTTCTAAAATGAAACTAAGTACCGCCGCATTCTCATCAACATTCGTGTTTTTGTTTAAATCATACGTTACTGCAAAAATCTCTATTTAACTCAAAGGCTGCTGTGTCAAAGTATTGATTACCTAAGTTTCTCTCGGTGGGCTTTCTTTCGAGAGAGACCCCAGTACGTGAAAAATCTGCCACGGAAGAAAGTTTGTGAAGAGAAGTGAGCTAAAGCAAAGAAGGCGACGTCTGCACGCTGAACGCGCACAGCGCGTTTGTTTGTCTCGAGCTCAGTTGTTGCGCAAAGTGCTTCAAGAACGTTTTGACCCTGGCTCGCAATGTCTTGCATCAATGCGCCGAGGTTCTTTTTTTTTTGTGTGTGTGTGTTTAGCTTGTACCCTGTTTGCAGGCCTGGCAAGCACGTGCCGCTGGACTGTTTTTTTTTTTTTTTTTTTTTTTTAGTATAGTTAAATTTAGCATACAATTTTGGGAATCAGTTGGCGTCGTAACGGAGTGGCATTGTTTCGGTTTTGATCGAACAGCCGTTGTTTCCGCCCGCACAACGAAGCGCACGCTACTGCAAGCCTGCCGAAGTTGCCCTCAAGTGTATACGAGCATGATTGCACGACAGAGGCACCAGTCGTGACGCTTGCAATTCATTGTTTTACGTTTGCTTACTTTTGACGAAAAGCTGGCACGTCGGGAACCAGTAAAACGGTGGCAAGCGGTTCTTTAGAATTGCTCGGCAATACCTACAGCACTAAACACGTGTGGGGGATGTCTCAGCAGTAAAAACACAAGCAGCGAGTTCCGTCACAACACGTCACATCAGAACGCAGCACAACACAAAGTGCCCTATGTTTGTACACCACTTAAAACAAATATTTTTTATTTTTCTAAGAATATCTGGCCCAAAAGCCACTTTTGCTGCTCCGAAACACTGTCTTGGCTGCTCCAGAAACCACTTTTCCTGCTCCAAAACAGTTTTGGTTGCTCCAAATTCTACATTTGCTGCTCCAAAACACTGTATTGGCTGCTCCGAAAGGTTCTTCAAAATGGCATAGGCCAGTCACATCACTGTGGATATTTACATGTATGTTTTAAAGGGACACTGACACCCAAGGGATTGGTGGCCGAGTGAGCTAGCGCACACCAGCTCGGAGCGCGTGGAGCAAAAGCTCGCGCTGCAGAACCCAGGGATCCTGGGCTCAATCCCCACCCCTGCCGTTTTGATCTGAATGAGCATAGTACCGGCATGCGGTCGTATACAATTATTGTGTGGTGCATGTTAAAGACCTTCAGGCTAGCGGACTATTGCACTGGCTAAATTGCTTATCTACAGCGAGTGACTCGTCGCAACTTTGAAAGGGCTGACCAACTACACACTGTATAGATATCCACACAACCCGAATTATTAATTATTTATGGCCGATTCGTCTGGGCCCGCATCGCACCGGTGCAGTGCGGTTCGTGGAACAGAAAAGGCTAGAGGGGAGCTTCCTTTTTTCCCTGCCAGCCTTCAGTGTACTAAAGTGGAAAGAGCTTACTGCACTGGACACGTGTGATGTGCCCCAGACGAATAGACCATCACACTGACACCCCCCAAATATTTTTGTTTTTTATATTTTTGCCAGGCAATTTATTATTGTGTCAGAAGACTACTGAATCAATATTTTGCTACAGCATCACACATATTTTTAATAAAAAAAAGATGGAACTGTTTAAAACCGAAACTGGGCTGGGGAGAAAGAAGGAACCTAGAA